ACTTCCTCTGCCGTAATTGTTTCACCAGGATTCAGGAAGCTGTGATGGATGAGACCGGCGGCAGACCACCAAACATGAGTTCATCTTCAAGGCTGGTGTTGCCACAGCGAAACTTCTGGAACCAACGTTGGACCGTAGATTCGTTGATACTTCCTTGACCCCAAACTTCGTTGATGTTCCGAGCTGTATCGGCAGCGTTTCGTCCTAGCTTGAACTCATAGAAGAAAATAGTGCGAAATTCACGTTTCGACATCTGCAATAAAATGTCAATAAAAATTATAATAAAATGAATTACAACCAATCTTGGAGTATCATTTAGAAAGAGCATGAGATGAGCTTCCGAATAGTATATAACACTTCATATTAAAGTAACATATTATTGGAATAAAATAAGTATGAAATACAAGCAAGCAAAATCCTGCATTTCTTTTGCAACGACCTAATAAAAGCCAAGCTAAAAGCTAATTCATGAGAACTATCTTGTTTTTGTGACATCTTCTCTACTACTCATCACTCCTTTTCACCACTGATTCCTCTGGTATACGGAATATTCAACCAATCTATTGCATTGAAGAAAAACTGTATCCGAATCAGAATTTGGCCGAACATGACCTTGAGACGGCTCCCTTGTTGAGTGAGAAGATACGGAACGAGAAGGGTTAGTCCACCGTCGTCGCTGAGCCACCAAACATCAATGATTGGTTTCTTGTTCAAACGTTTATCAGAGGAAGCGGATGAGATGGACTCTTCACTCGTCGAATACGACCCTAAAAAGTAACATTTGGCGGTACGGAGAAGTGGTTGAATCCAGCGTTATAAGACGTTCGTACGCACGTACGTTGTTTAATATTGAGAAGGTTGTTTGATTTACTTTTGAGAATCGCCACACCCATGTTGTTATAGAACGCTTGCCTAAATCGGAAAATTTTCACAAGCGGTAATACTTTCCGAAACACGTCCACAATAATACGTTTTCGAAACAGAAATCCAGAAACATTGCTTCTTTCCTGGAGTCACAGGAAAATGATTCTAATGACTAGTAGTAAAAGTAGTACAGTAGTAATAGTAAAAGCACGACTCTTTCGTTGACTTGTTTTACCATAGACTTCGTGTGAACTGGTAACCAGCTCATTTTTTATGTGTTACAGCTTGGACGATGATGTTAGGGCTGAACATGGGAGGGGGAGGAAGGGGTAGGGGAAGGGTGTGTGGGCAGTAGCGAGTTTTGTCCGTGCTCAAGGCACCTCATATTTGAAGGCAAGTGGCACAATAAATGTCCAGGACGTATAGGATTGATACAGGCAGGGCAGAAGCAGGACAGAATTTAGCGCCACTGAGCAGGCGCTGCGTGGTGCCTTTCCAAGGAAAGTACACCTAGAGCATCCTATCAAGCTGCAACATACCGACTCGGGGGCCACCGAGCCCGACCGCCCACAAATGGACGACCGCACCAAATGCTCGTTTTGTTTCGTTTGCGAAGCAAAATATGAAGCGAAGGGATTGATGGGAAGCGGATGAATATAT